CGTGTGTTCGATCCTAGCTTCGTGCAAGGATTGATTTTGTGTTTTGATAGTTTAAGTTTCAGAATGATATAATGGGAATTTATATTCTCGATTTCGTTCTGGTTCAAGATTAAAGCTTAAACCAACTGTAAAAGATACGTATGTGTTTTTGATCGATTGATAAAAGAATAATCTTTTGAAATATAGCGGTTAATTGTCTTTGATGAAGTAATCAAATCAATTAGAAAAGAAAACGAAGTTCCGTATACAACTATATAAAAATTATGAGTAAATGTACTTTTGATCACCAAACATATGTAGATACAAATGATCACCAAATTATGATACTTTTGATCACCAAATTCTTTTCAGCATGCATTTCACATTTTTATTTCTCAACGAAATATACTGTACAACGCGAACATATTCGTTGAGATTTTAATCAAATGAATAATAAAGCTGTGCCAACTTTCTTGGGAACATATGTATGTGAATGTATCATTGGCTTTATCGTTCTCGTTGGTGGCTTATATTCAATAGTTTTCTGGTGTGGTAACAATCCTCTTGGGTTGGTGTACCATTATGAGTATATTCGTGTAAACATTCTGTTAGATTAGCAATTTTATTTAACTTATGTCAAGTTAACGATAAAACACATATTCAACCATTAGGCAAACGAAAAGCAAAAGATTGTCCAAAGAAAGTTAGCAGAGCTTTATTATTCATTTGGTTAAAATCTCAATGAATATGTTCGTGTTGTATATTATACTTTGTTGAGAAATAAAAATGTGAGATGCATGCTGAAAAGAAGTTGGTGATCAAAAGTATCCTTTTGTGGTGATCAAAAAAATTGATACCCAAAAATTATTGTAAAATGAAATGTTCGAAATTGTTAGGAAAATCAATTAACGTGTCGACGAATCGGGACTAAATCAAACGTTGTAAATCAAATGCAGAATACAAAAACAGTCGTCGAACAGAGGATAGCGGATAGGGAACAGAGGAATACAGTAACGATACATGTCTAGCGAAAATGATATGAAGAAAAAGAATCAGAAAGACATTTCAATTTTAATTAATAGAATTCAATGGTCAAAGAAAGTAGTGAATCAATAATAAAATGCTTACATCCGACAACAGTAACACCATCCGTTGCTCCTTGTGGCCAATAGAGAATTCTGTTGTTACTCGCGTCAGCTATGTAGAGATTTTGTTGTTTATCAACACTAACAGCGGTCGGATAATTCAATAGATTTAATGCACACCCTGAAACTTGACTAGTACCAGCAACAGTGTTTATGATTGATGTATCATTGGTTAAAAATTGATATTGTTGAATACGATGGTTTTCTCTATCGGCAATATAGAGTAAATCCGTTGCTGGATCAATAAATAAACCGTGTGGTTCGTTTAACAAAGTCATTGTCCCTCCCGAGATACCTGTTGTGCCAGCAACTGTCACTCCTGTAGTATTCCATTGGGGATAACCTTCAAAAAAGACACAATGGAAATCCTGATGAGAAAGAGAAAGAAAGGTTGCTTCGGCGGGAGTTTGAAAACTTTACCGAAGGTAGCACCCGACATTTACAAAGATAGTTCTCGAATTGATTCCTTACGATACATTTAAAACGTGCATAAAGGCACGTTGTTGTGCATATTCAGCAAAATTACACCATTTTTTCTATTGAGAATAAAAAGTCTTGATCACTTCTTGTACAACAAAAAATTCGTTTTAAAAATCTGTGTCTTGTGTTTTCCTCAAAGGAATAAATTCACGAAGACGGAACGAAGGTCTGACAGCAGTACACTTAGAATATACATTGAATGCTTCAATCAATGCTATATCTTACAATCCTACAACTCCTCTCCAAGCAGAACAGTACAGAATGCTATAAGCCAGTGTTTAATTCCTTTCAAATTTTAAAGCGTCCTCTCCAAACACCTGGAATTTCCAAACGGTCATCTAGTTTTACTAGTTTTTATTATAGGTATTTCAATCTCTGAAAGTTCGGTTTTTATTTAATGCTTTCTTTTTGAGTTATAAAAATCCAGTGCTAATCAGATTTGATCAGTCAGACAATATTTCGACAAGGAAATAATCCAAACGGCGGGGTCACCTAACGAGCATCCTTCTGATCAGAAGGTTTGAATTTTTATTTTCACTCAAGTAAAGATTAAAAATGTATTGTTAGATGCAGGTTTCCGTGCTGAAGTTGAATTTATATTTTAAAAGTTTAAATTTAAATCTTTTTAGATTATAAATTTCATTTCCTGACACATATTTTCTTTTTTGGAAAATTCTGTAAACTATACCATCGGATAAGGGACATCTTAAACCCTCTGTCTATGTGCGAATCAGAGTTTGATAAGCGTTCTATGACAGCAAAAATATATACCAAATCATCTGCAAAGACGAGCACAAAAAAAAATAAAATTCGATAACGGTCACTTTTTTTTGTTTTTAAGGAAACGTCTATAGCGACTACAATAGTCCATAGTGTGAGCTTTAATTTGGTAACTAATCGATAATTTCAAAATTAATCTGTCGCTGACTAATTTACATTTTACAGCAGTACTCAGAAAAATCATTTCATTTTTTGAAATTCCGTAGCGGTCTCTATTTTGATAAGAACTTTTGATCCGCTTAGTCAATCAAGCTCAAATTATTTTTCGGTAGTGAAACCTGCTAATATCCATCGAGAAATGTTGCTTCCTGGCCGAGATAAAGAGCGCAGACAACGAAAAAATGAAATTCCGTAACGTTTCGTAACGCCACAAACGTACTCTTATCATTACAGACGTACTCTTATCATCTATCGTTCGTCTTTCACCGAACAAAAATCCGGTTCATAAGCCGTATGAGAGTGTATACTACAACTATTTTATCAGAAATAAGTTTTTATGCTCTAAAATAAAACATTGGCTCAACAACAAACTTTTAGGAATTCAGGTTTCCATAACCAAGGTAAAAAGTGAGTAGAAAGAAGCACACGGTGCACAAGAAAAAAATTAAAACTGTTGATCAATGTTCGTTTTATTGTCCCGTCTCCACATATGATACTTATCACTGGATAGGGAACAGGACGGGAGTTCTAAAACATATACAGGTGTCAAAGTTTGATTTAGTCTACATCGAAGTATTACTGGACAAAAATGACAAAAAAATATATGTAATAAGTCAAACGTATGCTATGTCTATGGGGGTAATGTTCTTCAATCACTATGCGGATCCTAAATCACTTTCAAGGGCAATTTTGAGATTAGATCTACTATTTCTGTAAGTTTCAAAAACAGTTGATAAAGTCTGTTAGATTTTCATCAAATTACTTGAAAGGTCAAAAAACTTACTCATATCTTTGCATTTTTGTTCAATACACAATAAATTTAAATCTTGTCTGCATTGTGACGACGATGAACATGTAGAATTGACTAATAATTGATCCTGACAAAATGTTCCGTTATAATAACTTGTAGAAGGACATGCACATAAATTATTGATACAAATTAAATAACGACTATTGAAACATTTATCACATGACTGTCCATATGCGGAGAAAACAAATAAACTATAATTAATTCTTCCGACTACGGATGATAATGATTCAGAAGACATTAAAATATTACCATTAGCTGATTGATATAATTGACATGTTGAGTTAATAAAATTAAATACACGACAATATCGATTTTGATTACATAGTTGTGCACAATGAGTAACTGTTGTTGAAACTGATGAACCTAATAAATCATTTATACTTGGTGGTTGATATTCTGTACCCAAATTCATAAGTGTAAATAATGAATCATAGCACTTTACAGGAGACCAGAGAATTATGATCATCAGTAAGAGAAACATTTTTTGAACTACACATGTATGTGCAAAGCATTTTTACTTTTAATTTTTATTTAAACACTTTCAAATAATCAGATGTGTAAAATTTTTTATGCTTCTTCATAGTTCTCATTACAAGAACAATTACATCTATCACCGTCACGTAAGTGTGTATCATTATTTTCTATCGGAATTAATACTTGCACTCTTTTTTATAACTGTGCACCTATTACTCCCATGTAGATAAGGAACATGTCAGCTAGTTTAAAAAGAAAATAGTGAAAATGAAGAACTACTATCGATAAAAAGACCAGGCCATCAATACAGTTAACAAACTAATTTTTAAATAAGAGTAGGGTGTTTAATTTCTATTTGTGAACTGTTCTCTGACTTTGTGCCATTTTCATATCTACTTACTAGAAAAACTAGAAATCAGAAGTAAATGTGGTGATCACCGTTATCGATCATTGGTCTGCCATCCTAACTCACATAGAACATAAAATATGAAAACGATGGTATGAGATACTCGTTAGTGAAAACTAGCGACCAATTCACTATGGCATATTTTACTATTACCGACTAGTGGAATATCGTTTCCGATCAAGTTATTTGAAAAGCATTTTGTAGAGGATGGATTAATCTGGTAAATAACACTAATAAGACGGTTTGAGGATCTCTCATTAGAAAAACTTTTCGTTTTTGGTTAGGCAGAGTGAAGAGTACAGTAAAGTTTACTCTACACAATAAAACCACTTCCAGCTCTCCAAGACCTCTCGTTGAGGAGATATGAACTTTTAAAAGTTCAAAATTTTGAGCGGATAAAACTTTGTTTTTTAACTTTCTGTTTCGTTGACCACTCAGAAATTTTTTCCAATAGCTAATTCTGTAGAATAAAATGCTACCAAGCTCTGTAGCCAAAATGCTGAATCAAAACGCTTTACTATCGATGTCGGTATTATAATTGTAGGCATCAATAAAAGACGTGTGTACTAAGTAGTGTTTAATAAGACAAAAAAAACGTTCGTGGACAATCAGAAATGAAGTGTGTTTTGATAATTAACTTTTTTAATTTTAACTTTCTACTTTTAACTTCTTCTTTTTTAATTCTAACTATATACGCGAAGGAAATAAATATACTCTTTTACTTCTTCTCTAAAGTGCAAAAATTCACTTATGTGTTGTGATTACACTGCCCATGGGGAAATTTTGTCATATTGTATGACTAAAAAAAGAACTGTCTTCTGTATGTGTGCATCGAATAGAGGATCCAAATCGTTCTTCTACACCTAAAAATTTGAAGATGTCAGGTATAGAAGCCACTTAGTGTTTTGGTCATGCCAACTTCGAAATCGAAAAAATATTTCGTTATGGCTATAGCATGATGATAATGAATCAGTGTAATCATAATACATAAGCGAATTTTTGTATTTTAAAGAAGAAGTAAAAGTGTATATTCATTTCCTTCGCTTATATAGTTAAAATTAAAAAAGTTAATTATCAAAATACACTTTATTTCTGATTGTCGACAAAAAAGAACGTTTTTTTTGTCGAAAAACCTCACACTCGGAAGCTCGGTTTTTGAAAAAACCGTATTTCTTTCCGAGGCAACGCAGGTTCATTTGATAGAGCGTCCGACACTGTATATTTCGTATTGGCAATGCCTTTCGTTTGAATGCAAGGAAAAAAATACGGAATCTAGGATATGGTTTTTCAGAGTTTTTCGAGGTTAAAGCGATTTTTTACGATGAAAATCGACATTTGGAACATTTTAAATGTGATGTTCGAAAAGCTGATACGCTTTTCAGTATATCTAGCTGATTTTGAATGAACTATCAACTGATTTTGAATGAACTTGAAAAACTATCATTAATAACAATAATCTTCTGTCTTACACAAAATACCTGAAACTATTAAACTGTAGTTCCCAATTACGGATAAGTTAAACACTGAACAATTATCTGGAGTTATTTATGATATTAAATGTAATGACTGTCATGGGGAGTATCTTGGTAAAACTGTAAGGGAAATGAGCCGTAGAACAAACGAAGACGAGAAAGACGTGGATAAAGCTATGATATTCCTTATTAGTGATTTTATCTCAGAATAAAAATAAACGAAACACAAAAAACCAAATAATTAAACCACAAAGTCAAGTTAATTTGCGACGTAGTGATCGTGTTGCTAAGAGGAACGTGTCATCAGTTGTTTCAATACAGTTACCACCCGTACAAGAAGAGTTTAAATCAAAATCAGCTCTAGGAAAACACGTAATAAAAACAGGACATTCAATTGCCCAAGCAAAAACGACCCAAATTTGTGGGTTATTTATGCAGATTCAGCTCCACGTGCATCTAGATGTACGTCGAGCTGAATCTAGATAAATAACCCAAAAAATTGGGTTGTTTTTGCTTGAGTGATTTCACGAATATTTCGAACGAGGAATTTTAAACCGAAGTTTAATCAGTTCTAGAAATAAAGTTTATTTGAAAGCTTAATTTGACGATGTGCAATGGAGAACACAGTTGAATTAACAAATGATGAATGAGGATGACGTGAATTGTGTATTATAAATGATTTTCTAACACAGGATGGGAACTGTCCATCACAATTCTCATCAAATATTTGTTTATATAATTACATTGCTTTTTCAGGTGATTAAGTAAATTCTTTACGAGTATTTAATATTGTTGTTGTTTGAATTCGTCTCAAACATCCATTTATCTCATCAAGATTGTACATCAATGAGAAAAATGAATTTTGACATCCCTACCCTGTTGTTGGTAGTAAATTTTTCATTGTTGAATTTATTGCACATTTAAATATATCTTCAACTTTTAACGACAAAGGAATTTGGTTTTCTTCATATTGTGTTATGTTTTCTAAAAACCTTTTCATTAAACCAATGGCACAACGTTGAGAAATCGACCATTAATATTTGTACAAATAACCACATAAACTTATTGCCGATATTATTGCTGATAAGTATCAGAAGAAGAAACATAAGAGACTTGCTGATCAAAACCTAAAAATAAGTTTATAGAATCAATAAAAAAAGTTAGCGCACAGGAGGCTACGACCTTGTTTCTTTTTATTTGCTTCTTCGATGGTACATACAGTGCTCTGCAAAAGTGTGTGGTACTCTATTAGTCCACACATCATAGAATCTCCTGACCTGATATATTATATGGATTATAGCTCTTAAAAAAACTGATTAGCCAATAAGGTTATATGTCTGAGCGCATTGTTTCTAAGATATCTCATTTTTTCACTAAAATGCATCTAACTTCTGATTTATTGTTGATGAACACTTTATTCTCATAGAAATAATAAATAACTAACACGTGCAACTTGGAACTTTTTTGGATCGATAACAATTTACCTTATCTCAAAGACTAAAAATTCAAATTGAACATTTATACCCGGTCGCTAGGTATGCCGTAACACGATAATATCAATATGGATAGTATCGAAATCGATATCAATATAATATCAATATGGACAATATCGATTTCGATATTATCGAAAGTCAATATTATTGATCTCAATAATGTTGATCTTCGATACTTTATCGATGAGTAAATGTGAGAGAACAATTTGTGAGAGAAAGTACCGAAAAGAGATAGCTCGTTCAAATTGCTGGTTCTCAAGCTAAGTGAAGTGATAGATTTTGTTTTCCAGGATTTTATGTGACCTGCGTCTCAGAAGTAAAGAAATTCAGTGGCAAGGTGGTTAGCAGACACCGACTACAGGGTTTCTAATGCGAATTTTGAGTAGCCCGTACAGAATCGTGGTAATTCTTGGCTTTTGTTGTTCTATCTTTTCCTATTTGTTGATACAGAGCGTGTTTTCAATCTAGTTCGCGTGCCGTACGCTTTGAAACAAAGGGGTACGCGTAATATTAGAAACACTGACTGACTGTATGCTAACGCCATTATTCTGATTGGCTCTAGTAATGCATTTAAGGGAGAAAAGAGTGTAAGTAACGCTGTTCACTTCAACGAGAAAGTCTTATTTCTAGTAATCTTTGTAGTTAATATCTGAACATTATTCGCTTCTACATAGCACGTAGGATCACTGTAATCGGTTGTCGATCTGCTGAAAGATTACAATATTTCTTGGAAGGTCGTAAATCGTACAAACTCGATATTTTTTCGAGCGAAATATTTTTGACAGAAGAATTTGTACTTTTTAAAGCATTACCGAGGGCAGTATAATTAATAATGAATAAATGTAGTATATAATTGCTGTAGATGTGGTTTTTCTTCTGGACTCAGATGCAGGTTTTCTGAAGAATCGCCGGTTTTGGAGGTATTTCCCTTTTTCTCAGTTATGAAACGCTTTATTAGGGAAATTTCTCTCTAATAAAGATTTTTTTTCGAATCCGACTCCTTTTACTTCTATTAATATCTGACGCATAATAAGACTATATCATGCGAAAATAATCATTTTTTAACTCAAAAAATCAGGTGTCCGCCTGCTCTACGGAAAAATGCTTGCTGTAGGGCACCTACCAAAAACAGTAAAAGGAAAAGAATACTCAACTTAGGGTATTAGGACTTACTAGTGACAAAATATATGGGATGAAATCAGTATCGCAATTCGCCACGAAATCATGTTCTAGCAGAATATATTGAAATAACACTGTAACGGATATTATCCAGATAGAAAAATTATCTGACCAATTGTCACACCGCAATGACGTCATAAACATCATAACGCGATCCGTGCGAATGAATAATTAACCCCGAGGCATCGTAACAGATTGAAATCAAGATATATCTGGATAGTACTCGATGCTGGAAAGTACAACGATAAAAAATCTGCTATATCCGCTGTCACACCGGGATGCATTCATGAGGCACCGATATACTGGGATATATCTGCCTAAAATAAGTATCGGTCCATATCGCTCTGCAACGTTTATCCCGCTGCATCGCGGTGTGACAACGGATACGGTAAGTTCTTTATCGCGGAAAAGACCTTATGGGCTGTACTACTGACGTCATTAC